CTTCTGTTGAAGTTGGAATTGAAGCTCCTGAGATAAAGATTGAAACAAAGGGAAAGAAAGGATCACCATCAAAGTTTAAGATGCCAACATTCCAAATTCCAAAATTTGGAGTGGGTGTCACAAGTTCAACAGCAGAGGCACCGGATATGGACAAAGGCATAAAAATAGATGGTGCTGATATTGAGATTCCTGAAGAGGTTCTTGAAGTTGGCGTTGCAGTACCCAGCACTGAATTAAAAGAACCTTCAATCTCCTTGAAAACCAGTGGATATGAACATGAAGTTAAAGGAAGTAAGTTCAAACTGCCAAGTCTTGGATTGTCTTTCCCTCAAACAAAAGGGCCTGACATTGATTTAAGCTTATCGAAGAAAGATGTAGATGTTACAGTTCCAAAAGCCAAAGCTGACACAGCTGGTAAGGCCCCTGAGGAAGACATCAGCATTGATGTTCCCGGAGTTGATGTCATACTACCAGAAGTCAAAACAGATGTACATCTTCCAGATACCGACCTTAAAGAATCCTCACATATTATCATAGAAGGGGGAACCGATACAAACCTTGAGGCTAAATTGAAAAAGCCAAGATTTTCATTGCCAAAATTTTCATTTTCCAAGCAAAGTGTAAAAGACCCTGAAGTCGATATCAGTCTCCCAAAAACTGATGTTATTTTTCTGCAAGGTGATATAGTCAAACAACCTGACAATGAGTTCAGTATGGAAGTAAGTGATGTGAATAAAGGAATTAAAATTGATGCAGCACCCGGCATTGACTCTGAAGGTTTAGCTGTAGATGTGAAAGCTAAAGGAGGTGAGATATCTGGAAGCAAGCTTAAAATGCCAAATCTGGCCATCTCAATGACCAAAGTTAAAAGTCCTGAAACAGATTTAAGTTTATCAAAGAAAGATGTTGATATTTCCTTACCAGAGGTAACAGCTGACATCAAACTACTCCATATTGAAGGCAAAGAAACTGAGGGTTCTACTTCATTACCGGAAACACCAACAATTGAGGCCGAAGTCAAGTCAAAACGACCAAGTTGGACATTTCCAAAATTTTCCTTTTCAAGGACAGCTGATAAGGCCCCAGCTATTGATGTCAAAATTGAAACACCCAAAGCTGAGATTATATCAAGCAAAACAGAAGTCTGTCTAGCAGAAGCTGAAATCAAAGGACCTTCAATGGAAGAACCACCTGCTGAAGAAACTGAAACAAACTTGAAAAAACCTAAATTTTCACTTCCGAGATTTTCTTTTTCAAAGTCAAGTATTAAAGAATCGGAGTTAAGTGATGAGCTTCCACAAGCTGATGTTTCTGTTTCAGAGGGAGAAATAAAAGTTAAACAGCCTGAAATGGAAATTAAAGCTCCTGAGAAAGAAGCTGGGCAAGGAAGCCCATTTAAGTTCCCAAATTTAGGCATTGTACAAACAAAACCAAAAGGACCTGAAGTGGATTTAAAATCATCAATAAACAATGTTGACAGCAAACGGCCAGAAATAAAAGCAGAGGTCAAAATCTCAGAAGAAGTCAAACAATCTTCATCTAGTTTGGGAATCAAGTCTTCTGAGACAAAAGCAAAATCAAAAGATGCTGAAGGATCCCCTTTAAAAGAAAAAATTTCACCACTGAAAATGCCAAAATTTAGCAGTGCTTCCTTTGACGTTACCATGGAAGCACCCAAAACAGGAAAAGTAATTGACATTCATGGATCTAAACCTAAGGAGGATATTTCTGTCACCGACAAAGATTCGATTGTTAATATTAAAATGGATTATTCCAAAGGTATAATATCAGAATCCGAAACACCCAAGACTGAGACTGATGTTCTGGGTCTTCCATCACCAAGTAAATTCAAACTACCATCTTTTAAAATGCCCAGGCTTAGCTTCTCAAAGTCTAAACCTGAAGAGGAACAGCTTCCTGTTGAAATAGAAGATAAAGAAGCTCAACTGGAAATGGAAGTTGAAACAAAAGGAGAAAGTAAATCACCAAAAGTGATTCTGACATCATTTGGTGAGATCCTAAAGACTATTGATGTTGAATTTGATGTTCCAAAAGCAGACCAAGTTGAAGAAAATCTTGTAGTCTCAAAAGAAGTTCAAGAAATAGGCGAACATGCTGGAAAGCAATTAGAAGCAAAGGAAAAAGGAGCAAGTAGCATACAAGATATTTCCAAGAGTCCCGAGAGGACAGGTTGGTTTAAATTTCCTAAGTTTGGCCTGTCTTCCCCTTCAGAAGCCCCCAGTGCTCCTGAGAAATGTGAACAAAAGGATGAAAAGAGTCCAGTAGGGGGAATGGGGGACGAGGAAATTAGCCCCACCTTTTCTGTCCAATCATCGGATGCCTTCGCTGATATAAGTTCTGCAGTCACAAGTGAGCATGTTGGCCCATCCATATCTTCCCCAACAAAGGTAACTGTCAAATATTCTGATCCAAATGTTGCTACTGAGCTTGAAGAGACACACAGTAACATCTTTACTTCGGCCACGAGGACTGAACTGATCTCAGTTCAGCCTAACTTACCGGAGAAAATCACTATTCTGTCCTCTGGAATATCATCGTCATCAGAAGACACGTGCAGATTGGAATCGGGAAAACTACACGTCATTACAACAAATATACAAGCAACCCCAGAAGCACAGCATGCCCAGTTACTAACTGATATTGAAGCTGAATTAGCTGAAGGCCTTCCCTTAAAATCAGAAGCTAATGAAACTACATCATGGACTGTGGAAGGCTCAGACAGTGGCAACAGAGCGGTGTTTGAGAGGCACTTAGTGACGAAAACCTCAACTGAAAGAAGTGAAAGCAGAGAGACAATTGTTATAACCAAACAAATTACTCATGTATTTGACTCTTCTGAGCCCATCTCTGGTGAGACAGCGTCATCTATACAGCGACTGAGAGACTCTGTGCACTCTGAGAAAATGAGGTTCTTTGACGATGCTGAGAAGTGAGGCAACTGGAAATAATTCATGTGTAAAGATACTATTTCTCTTTGCCTAGACCTGAATGTCAGAGGAGACAAGTGAATGAAAACATGCTGGAAACTGGGAAAGGAAGTTAGCATGTTTAACTTACCGATCACAGAGAACAATCTGTCAGTGTTCAGGCATTACAACATGATGGTGATGTGCTGTGCTATGATGCTGACCTACAAAAAAAATATGCATTCCTGTAATTCACGCTGACAGTCTGTTGAAGATACTAACAATGTGTATAACTGTGTCCTTACTTCAAATTGTAGCAAGGCCTTAGCAAATATCCTTGCTCAAGATGCAGAATGTTTGACTTTTGCTTACCAAAATCTCTAAAACTCATTTTGCAGTTTTTCACTATTGACTAATTTACTTGTGTGTGTACTTTACAAAATGATAATCACCAGTGCCGTCAACTAAAATTTCTGACTGTTTGAGACTGATGCAAAAATCAATTTATTTTACTGACATTCCAAATTGTGTTTACAGTAATTTCACTATAACGCTTACAGTATATACAAACTACAATAGCATAATGCAGTTAAGATAGAACAAAGAATATGTACGTATTGCACCAAGATACTGTTGTCGCTGTAGCTAAAATGTAAAGAGACAATAGCAATGCAAAGCTGAAATGAAAAGCGTATGATCAAACAGAACAAATGTACTGCTAAAACTATATTTTTTATTAATACTTTGCTACTTTGAACCTAATTTGCCACACTAGAAATCTGTCTGGACTCTGTTTTCTTTCCATATCTCTGTACAAAGTGGGGCTATTGAACCAGCTATATAAATAGCTTTTAATGACCTTTGGAATTTTATTGGATAACTGCTCGTGTTTGTATTCTGATAGGCTTTAACTTAACTTGTTTGCAAAGTTATAGACAATAAATGCTATTATATCCAAAACTATGTTTGTGTGTGTGTTTGTGTGTCTATAGTGAAATTAATAAAAAGCAGTTTTCAATCTGTAGTCAATATGTTTGCACACTAGATGGAGACAAAGTTCATAACTATGGTAACATATCATCACGAATATGCTTCATGTTATATACAGATAATTCACAGTTTACTGTGTGAATAAGTCCCTGTGCACAGTGTGAAACTTCTGTGTTAGCTTAACTACAGATTTCCTTGTTATGGCCTTTTTTACAGCAATTGAAATTCCTTCACAAACCTCATTTAAATATCATGAAATATACAGAACAAGAAAAAAAAGCTTCTTCCACTCCAACTTTGAAAATGTAAAACGTATCAGTATACCTTACAATTACACCATAGCGTGCCAACTATCAAGCACTCACTCGTTGTCTACGCTCACCGAATTGTTATGTGCTGCCTTCAAGAGCGTCCCGTCACTACCTTCTTTCTTCCGGAAACGATGTTAAAATTATTGCTGGTGCAGGTTTCTCGCGTCCTGTGTTTCACAGAGAAAATGCATGTGTATAAAATTAGACCCTAATCACACATTGGCCATAAATGTGTCTCACAGCATCAAAATATTCATCAACTCTAATTAAAACATAGTTTCTAGGAAATTTGAAACGAATGTGTCTTGCAAGTCGTTTTTCTTTGTCATTTAAGAAACATCAACTACACGTATGTGGATATGTGTATCAATAATATGTACATCATAAAGTTGTATCCAAATTTATTTCAAAACCATGTTCTGTTAAAAGAACTTACTGGTGTCTATCTTTCATCTAGACACTGAACCTATTTGCAGTGACTATTTAAGTCTCAGAAACATTAAACCATCTACATCAGGAATGCCAAACTTATTTTATATCCTGGGTGTCTCAAACATAATAAATATAGCAGAGAGTAAAAAAGGGTAAAAACCCTTTCTGCTATTTTATCTAATATTTAACTACTACGGCAATGCATGGCGATGGGGGGCATCTGCATCAATAGGAAAAGCTGTTAAACTATAATACAGTTAAGTTCAATCTCTTTGACATTTTCCAAAAGCTTTCCAGTTGCTTGGATTGGAGTCTTTCCCTTGCTGATTCTGGCCCGTGGGCCTTATGTTTGGCATCCCTAATTTTGATTACCCCCACCCCCACCCAAAAACAAAACAAAAACAAAAAGCTACACATTCTGTGGAATAATACTAATTTTGGGTATTTTAAAAGTTATTATTATCATTATTATTATTACTTAGATACAGTAGTTATTTATTGCTATTCAGTTATTTTCAGGAATGTAATAACCAAAAAATAGAAACATAAAATGTAAAGCAGAGGTGCCCACGTACTTTTTGACATACAGTCTTGAACGAGATTCTCTCGATAGCCCGCCTTTTCCCGACAGGCTTTGAAGGCAGCACTAGCTCCGCTTCAATGCGCAGGCTCTGAACACTTGACTGCGAGTGGTAACTTTACCACAGAGCCTTGCGTGCCCCTCCGCCTGTCGCCCACAACAGTCAGCATCATCATCGTCATCATCATCATCACCATCATCATCAGCAGCAGCATCAGGAGCAATATCAGTGTGATGAGGCAGCTGAGGACGGAGAGCCTCCTGCTCTGAGACACTGGATCAGCCTGCAGACAGGTACGAAGCTTTCATCCGCATTTTAGCCAACTTGGACGCGTTAAGCTCCATTCATTCTTTATTTCCTTACTAGAAGTAGCTTAATTCACTTTTCCTAAAAGTAACTAAATTACTGTTTATGTAACTAATCTAAAGTGCACCTCGGAGGTTTAGGAAAATCACAAAACCTGTTTTGCAGAGACTTTCTGAACTGGAGTTTGGGGTTGCGTGCAGAAAAGCGCAAATCAGCCCGTTTCCGTGTAGGACGAGCTGTTTTAATCGTGTAAATCTACTACCTACCTGTTGTATATCATGCAGATGAACCTCTGCTCCAATACAGCACAATGTGTATATTTTAAATACCAGTTTTATTTAAATAATAATAACAATATTAATAACAATAATTAAAGCATCAGCTGAGTGCGCCTTAAAAACTAGAACAGGAAATGTGAATTAGGGCAGCAAACACTGGAGAAATCACATTGATTTCCAACTGAAACTCAGCAGTGGAGTGTTTTTAGTAAGCTGTATGAGAGAGAGAGAGAGAGAGAGAGAGAGAGCATCACTATTTTTGACCGCGGGTTGGATTTTTCCTCTTTCCTTGGGTTGTGAAAACTTGCTGGATTTCTGCAGCAAACCTGCATTTGAGGAGGTGCTGCTGCTTCTGGCTCTGATTTAATAGCAGAAATGGAAAAGGTGTTTGAAGTGAAGCTGGCGCGATGAGAGAGGAGAGCGCGGAGAAGCCATTCCACCTTAATACACCTTTATATCTGCAAAAATGAAATTGTGGAGTTCAAGTGACTGCTGCTGAACAGCCTCTGGGGAAAGACAATTTGGACAGTCTTCACCGCAATGATGGACTGATGGACATGAGCGAGAGGAATTTTTATCCCTGACATCAGACGTATCCGTTTCACCCAAAACGTAAATGGAAATGATAAAACAGGAGACAGTGGCTCTTGTCTTTCTTAAGATGTTGGGTCTAGTCCACATTGAAATCAGGCATTTAAAATATACTAGGAGGTGGGAACATCAGGCTCCAAACCTTATTTTGTTATTTTAACGCTAATGAAGAGGATTTCTTTCTGGAGTAGAGGCTCACTGAGCCTTCCAAGTGACGAAATCTACATAACTGCTACATGAAATGCAGCATCCTACCCAATGTGGTGACGGTGAGGTAGAGCCAGCCGGTCGGAGATTGAGCCATTATTAGTAGAGAATAGTAAAAAATCCTGAAACTGAGAACAAACGCGAGACTTGGGAAAAATTACAAAATTATCCTTTTTTTAATGCACTCTGTTGCTTTACATTTCTTTTACGGTTGTATTCATGTGCACTGGTAACAATTGTGGCAATAGTCATTATGTAATGGGGTTGTCATCCATCCATACCTGCATCCATCCATCTTTTCCCATTTTTTGTCTTGAAAGCCATAAAGGAATCTTTATTTGCGACCACCCCTATGTGCACTTACCTGATGAAAATTTGGTGGTCAGAGTTTTTTTTTAACCTTACAAAATATATTTTTTATATAAGTAACAGCAACGAAATTTCACACTGACTGACTGAGAGTGTAAAACAAAGTGACATTTTACATCCAAAAGGTCAAAGGTCAATTCTGAACAGAGACAGATGAAAACTGCATCTTGACTTTTTGGTGGAAGTACACAACCATCATGTAGTAATGATACTGTTGATGCCGCCTGCAGAATGGTGCCATTTTTACTTGACAGAATTGCAATAGCTGGTAGTGACTTTGCAAATCCAGATTTTTCTAAATCCATCCATCCATCTGTTTTCTGCTGCTCATCTGAGTCTGGGATGAGGGGGCAGGAGTCTAAGGAGAGAAACCCTGACCTCCCTCTCACCAGTCACCTCCTCCAGCTCATGCAGAGGAAATCACTGAGATGTTCCCAAGCCAACCAAGGGGTATAAAATCTTCAGTGTGTCCCTAGTTCTGCCCTGGAGCCTCTTCCTGGAGAGGTCATGCTGGAACACCTTGTGTAGGAGGCATCCAAGAGGCATCCTAGTCAGATGTGCTAACCCACCTCAACTGGCTCCTTTTGATGTGGAACAGTAGCATCTCTACTCTTGAGTCCCTTCAGATTGAACTCCTCACCCTATCGCTAAAGGATAGCCTAGCCAGCTTTCGGAGGAAACTGTTCCACTTGTATGCACTTGTATCTACAGTTTCATTCTTTGAGTCACGACCCAGAGCTCTTGACCGTAGTTGAGAGTAGGAACGTAGATCGACTGGTAAATTGAACTTTCTTTTCACGCTAAGCTCTCACTTCACCACAACGAAGTGGTCCATCGCCTACATTGATTGAGACATGGCACAATGACACTCATGAACAAGACCCACCTGGGGTAGCAACTTATTCTTGACCCAGAGTGGATGGTCCACCCTTTTCCTACTAAAATTCATGGCTTCAGACTCTGAAGTGCTAATTCTTATTCCTGTTGCAGCAAACTACACCAGTGTGAGGTGGAAGTTGCCAACTGATAAAGGCAACAGAGTCACATCATCTGCAAAAAGTAGAAAAGAGATCCTGCAACCACCAAAGGGGAGACCCTCTCTTACATGGCCTAGAAACTTTGTCTATAAACATTATGAACAGAATCAGTGACAAAGGGCAGCTCTGGAGGAGTCCAACACAAACAAGAATGATCCTGAACTGTTGTTGCCAATATGGACCAAACTCTCACTGTGGTTGTACAGCAACCTAATGGGCTGTAACAATGGGTCAGATACCCCATCCTTCCAAAGTAGCCCCACAGGATCCCCAGGAGAATTCGCTCTCCAAGTCCACAATGTGCATGTAGACTGGTTAGGCAAATTCCCATCAACCTTTAATATCCTTCAGAAGATAAAGAGCTGGTAAAAGATTTTTCTACACCTAGGAAATTCTGGACTAATTCCTTTAAGTAAATGATCTGGATAAATCTTAGACCTTTATGATTTTTGTGGCAAGAATTAAACTTGCACCCCACTCAAGACAATTATTATTTCCAGTAATGACGTAATAGTAAAAAAATACCTTAATTCTTTCATTTAAACAGTGTAACCAGCTATCCAGAAACATTTAGATTTACTGTCATCTATGATGAGGAAATGCACTAAATAGATTTTTTGCTTGACTCGTGATAATAGTGACTTTTTTGCATAATCAAAAGTTTTTCTTATATTTCTGTTTATTAGTAAGGCAACATATCACTGCAGCTCCATCTCCAACAGAGGCAGTAAAATCAGAACATATTAATACTGCTTAATTTTATAGATTAAAACTTTCTTGTATTTAAATAATGTAAATCACATCAAATATTTAGAAACAAACTTTAATTTTAGCCCTAATTGTTTCTTAAA